AGCTGAACTCAATGTAACACTTTCAATGTAAGATTACAACATAGCAACACAGAAAAATATTTAAACATAGTAAATAAATTGTGCCAAAAAAGAAAATAGATTATTATTGAGATGCATAAATAAAAAATAAAGCAATCATACAAAACTTTGATTTTTGCAGACAAAGCATTGAATCAAACAGCTAAACATTCAGTGATTATGTTATTCATATTACTATTTCAAATATTATAAATAAATAGAAAGAAATATTAAATTATGCTCAAAAATTTTTATCCCCAAATAAAGCTTAAAACCGCATACCTTGGCAAAGCATATTTACATCTTCTTGAAGTCTTAACTCTAGTAGAGCCATTATTCACTTCCCCAATATCAAGTAAAAAACTTGAATATCAAGTAAAAAGATGAAAAGTATAAGAAAACTACAGCATCTTGTAGAGAAAATATTTTAAACATTTTCAATGTTTCACTTTAGGAATTTGATGTTTTTCATGCAACATTATTGTACTAAAATAATAAGAAAAAATGTCAGAAACAGAAACCTAGTGTCATCTACAGATACCTTGTTACCAAAAATTGAAAATTACTTCCCTTAGCAACAGTGATAACGAAAATGCAGAAGATCTTATTGGTAAAATTTTTTTTTTAATTTTTTTTTTTAATTTAAATTAATAAAAAAAGTAAAAATATTTTTTATTCTTTTATATTCAATTAGATATTATTTACACTAATAATCGTTTGTTTGTACATTAATATTGATATTACATTATATCAAAGTAAATGAATTATTTAAGTGACCCCTCTAAACACTAAGATTAGTTTATTAATACCAACAACCAAAAAAAGGCTTAAACATGTTTTTTTTGTTTGTTTTTTTAACTTATTAACCATATTAAAATTATTTAATTGTAACTTTCTACTAATTTAATAATAACATTATTTTTAAATACCTGTAAAATATTATAGTTCTACTTAAAATATATATGGAACAAGCATCATTTTTTTTAATTTATTGCTAAAATAAAAATAAAAAATTCATCTAAATTATTAAATTTATTTATTTATTAAAATTTATGCTTTATTTTAATAGAATATTGATACATTTGTTATCTAGTTTATAATATATAAAACATAAAATATATATTAAATATATAAAAATCTATTGCAAAAATAAAAACAGAAAAAAAAAGTGATGCCAAAATTTTCCAATAACCCTGATTTTCAGAGCTTTAAATTTTGTTATCTCTATGGTACAGACAGTTTTTTCACAAGTACACAGGTTAGGATCATGATTGTCATGATTAATCTGCTGCTGATTTGATTCATTTTTTCAAAGAAAGTTTAAAGAAAGTATTTTAAATAAATATTAAAAATATTTATTTAAAATACTTTCCTATAATGCACAGTAAAACCTCAATAATATAAAGGTTTTAAAACCATATTTTTTGCTTTAGAATATTTGACAAGTATGCCCATGGACCAATAAACAACTTTTTATAATCTGTTAATATTTTTTTTAAACAAAATTTGCAATTTTATTCAAAAATAAATAATGACAAATGACACCAAAAGATGAAATTTGTGTATTGAAATTTAAGTATTGCTATTTTTAGAGACATAGCAAAGGAGTATGTTAAAGAAGAGAAAAAATAAATGCAGAAACTGTTGAGAAAAAAACTTTGATTGTGGATATTAGCAGATTCAGATTTTCTTGTACATCAAATGATAGAATTTTAATTTAAAGAAGAGCTTACATTAATTTTATTTTTTTATTACAGATTACTGTGGCACAGATTACTTGGCAAATAGCATAAAAAAATAAAAATAAAAGCAATACTTTTCTAATAAGTATTTAATTCATTATAAATGGACAGCATAATGCTTCATTTCAAGCAATCTATAGGGTACCACAAAACTTTGTCCTTGAGCATGTGTTGTTTCTTAATTATCTTAATATTCTTCCTGATAACTAACTATAACTATAAATTTTTTATTCTATAAATATGCTAATGGTATAGCTATGTAACACTACTTTGATAAATCTAGATTTTTGACACTTTTTGACACCTTAAAACAGCCAGCTCACAGTGAACGGTTTTTAAAAAGTTGTTTGTTAACTATTATTGCAATAATGTTACCCTGAGTTCTCTACTTTATGTCTGATTTGTACTGCTGACTTCTCATTGAAAGTATTAATCAATTGCAAATTAAACATCTGCTAGGGAATTTTTAAATAAATCAAATCCCTGATGTACATTTTAATTTTGAACATTTTTCATGCCAAGGGGCTATTCATGGCCCTTTTGACAGTGTTGAATGTATTTGGGCGAGTTTTGAGCACCACCTAAATTCAGAAATTAAGGACTTTTTTTTTTTTTTTTAGATATTGGCAAATATTGTTTTTTACACGGAAAAATGTCTTTATTCAGCAATGTTTTCATCAATGCATCCATATGGCACGCATTGCCATTACACACAAATTATTTTTACAGCATCATGCGGCATCCAAATTAATTTTTTAGAATAGCCCCTGATGTCTATTTCAAAATTTTATAAGTGCTGAACTATTTTAATTTTAGTAATAGGTCTTTTTTTAAATGGAAAACATTAGACATCATAATGATTGGGGTATGCAACATATCTCTATGAATACATGATTTTTTAAACATCTTCGCTTCTAGCAAGGCTGCAAGCAACCACTAATTAATGTTGGAAGTTACTGGAAGAGAAAAGATAAAGACTGCAGAGCAAGATAACGATTGACAGGCGACTTCAAAAATTGCAAATTAATTGAATCAGGATAATAAGATGAAGGAAGCAAATTCCAAAGAACTGATGTTCAAGGAAAAAAACTAGACAAATAAGATAATGAAGAGAATGAATTTTAGTAGATGGCACAAGAGACGCTAGCTCTTTAGAGCAGTGCCCATTATAGTATTTGTAGAAAAGAGAAAGAGAAGCAACATTACAACAATGTGATAATGGTTGAAGGTTGGCTGCAAGAGCAGGTCCAACTATGTTTACAATGCTCTTTTGCGCTTTGTCTAAAAGAGAAAAGGCATCATTAGAAGATCGGCCCCAGATATGGCAACAGTATTCTATTCATGCAACAGATTTGATATATGGTTTCCAAGAAAGATCAGAAGTAAGAGTTAATCCCAGAAGATGAAGAGTAGATGACTCATCAAGTACATTACTGTTCATAAATATAGGAAGGTCTAAATTATTGTGATAACAATTGGCTGAAAAAAATTGAGTTTCATCTGAATTAAAGTTCACCAGTCACTGTGAGCCCCATGCTGTAGCAGAGACAAGATCCTTTTCAAGCTCAAATGCCCCTTCCAAGCAGTTAGAGGGAGTTGGCTTCTTATCATGACAAGAACAAATGGTAGTATCAACAGCAAACAATGCCACCTTAGATGTGAGAATATCTGGAAGATCGTTAATGTAAATTAAAAAGAGTATAGAGCCAAAGATTGAACCTTGAGGAACCCCTGAGGTTTTAGAATAAGAAGAAGAGTACTGTCCATCGAGGACAACTTTTATACTGCAATTGGAAAAGAAGGATTCAATAATCTTAAAGATGTTTCCAGATACACCGTAAGAAGAAAGCTTATGGAGAAGAGAAACATGCCAAACTTTATCAAACGCTTTAGAAATGTCAAGAGCAATGACCTTAACTTCTCCAACTTTATCTAATGCGCAATAAATCCTATCGGTTATTACTGATAGCAAATCAGCAGTAGAACAAGAAAATTGAAATCCATATTGATGATCAGAAAGTAAGTTATTAGATTCATGATGAGACATTAGGTGTTAGTTAATTAAAGATTCAAAAACCTTGCTTATGATAGGAAGAAAACTAATGGGATGGTAGTTAGACAAATCAGATCTCTTTCCAGAATTTTTGAAAATAGGGATAACAGATGCTGCTTTCCAGCAGGCTGGAAAACAAGACTCTGATAAGCACTTGTTGAATAGTTTTGAAAAGGATAGATGACAGCTCTGGAAAACACTTCTGCAAGACTATAATAGGTATGTTGTCCAGGCTACAAACTGTAGAAGAGTCTAAGCAGGAAATCACTTTAGATACAGAAGCTGGAGTGATACAAATGTCAAGCAATAGATCAACTTGTTTGATGGCTTTATCAGGTGGAACACAACTAGTGGAATCAGGAGATAAAAAGTTCTTAGCAAACAATTCAGCTTTGTCTTTAGGTGAGGTGACAAACTCAGAACCGTACAAAAGAGGTGGAATTACAGACTTGCCCTTATTATTGATACTATTAAAAATTCTCCAGAAGTCACGAGAGCCTAATTTATGTGATGAAATATGAGATTTCATGACTGAATTTTTAAATTTTTAAGTTAAAAAATAAAAGTCTGTTTGAAAATTGTTTTGCTGATAGATATGAAAGTAATGGTTTTGATTGGCAATTGCAGCAGCACAATGTAAGGAAAACCATGGAGAAGATATATGAATATGAATACGATTTGAAAGTCTAGAATATGGTTAAATAGTTTATAGAGAATTGGAAAGAGTTTTGGAGAAAACTTTTGTAAGATTGTCATCGAAATGTTGTCCAGATTATAAACTGAAAAAAAACAACCTCCCCCTATCTGTTTATTTGATTTGGAATAAAATACCCTCCCCCTTCTTTTTATTCCTTTTCCACCCCAACTCCCCCCCCCCCATCTTCTTTGTATTTAGGACTAGAGAGTACATCCCTCTTATCAGACTTTTAAATCTTGTATTTAGAAGGTCCTTTGTAAATAAATTTAGGGAAAAGTAATAAGATCAAAACCATACATTAAATGCAGAATGTAAGACTTTTGTTAACATTATTGTTGTTTATAAATGTTATTAACTTTGTTAATGACACTATCTTTGATCTTCACTAATTTTCTTCACTTCACTTATTTGTTTGCATTACAATTTAATTAAATACTTCACTTACAAAGATTTAGAAACTTAAAATATGAAATTTAATAAAAAAACTTACTTTCAGTTCCATAAAAGTTGTACTTAATAATAATCTTAGATGTTAATAATATTCTAAAATTTTTTGCTTTGATCACACCATTAAAAGGAACATACTGACTTTCACCACCATGTAAAGAAATCTAAACAAAGAAATTTTTTTACTTCTTTAAAATTCAGTTTTCAATGAAGTTTATAATAAAGTAGAATCTACTTTATAAGGTTCTTTATATTTAAAGATTTTATGTTATTTTAAGTTGGGTTCAAAGCTATACAAATTGTTTGCAGAAATACTTTACAAATTATTATAGCGCAGTGGTTAGAGTGATAACTTTAGAAAAAAAAAGTAAGATGTTCAATGCCCACATTAAAAAGCAACATTGGTGAGGAAGGCAGCAATTGCTTTCTCGTTAAATGCTTTTCCCTGGTGACAAAATGAATTTGCATATAAATAAGCAAACTTTTCTAGTTTAAAAGCATTTTTATGTTAATTACGGTCTCTACTTTGTTAATGTATTGAATCAAAATAAATTCTAAAGTTACTTTTGCGTAGAACTTAATTTATTCATCATCAAGTCATTAGGGGCGAATTTGTCAGTTCAACTAAACTAATTGGAAAATATATCAATAGGACAATAAGCAAAGTTCTTTACTAATGGTAAAGACAGCTTACCTAGAAGATGCGATGATTCTTTGATATAAAGCATTATTTTTGAGGTAAAGTAGACTAATTTCAATAATCTAGAATAGTAAACCACTAAGTGATGTAAATAGAACTATTGATAACCTACAGATAGCTACAGATAAAATTACTGAAGAAGCCGCCAGATAATGACAAAAAAGAATTACTGAAAATCAGTTCTTTATTTTTAAAAACATCTAAAAAGACCTCAATTGTTAAACTTTTTCTAGAAAATATCAAATAATGATTTTGGCATAAATGAAAACCGTCTAACTGCACTAGCGCACAAAATAGCACGTTAAAGAAATAACAAAAATTATATCACTTTGACTATTTAAGAATTTACACATTTAGCATATGTATCAACTCCAAAACATCCTTCACATACCCACTGACTACAAATTAAACAATAAAGCTAATAGTTCTTAAAATAGATAAATTTGGGTCTCCCTGTTGAATTGCTGTTTTATTAAACACCTTTTTTTTGTATTTGAAGTCATTCACTGTATTTCTTAGTGGATGCAAACCACAATGGTAAAACATTAACAATCAATCCTTTTTTTGTAAGTATGTTGGGCCATATTTTGTTAAAAAATAATGTGAAAGTAGCAAAGAGGCATAGAAATATCATCATTTTCAGCTAAGCAGTTAGACAAGACCTCAGACCGCATATGTTTAACTACTTTATTAAGATGTGCGTCAAGTGGTTGAAGGCAGTGTGTATTATGAGGTGGAATGCATATTATTTCAATGCCCATCTTTATTGCTAATTCAATTGCTTCAAAAATTAATCATCCAAAATTAACAATACTTTTTTCCATCCTCTTTTGTGAGACTCATTAAAATGATATAAAAAGTCAATAAAGATCTTTTGATCAATATATCCATTTTTACTGCAATGTACCCAAAGGAAATTTAGATGCATCTAAAATCTTTGTTCCCTTAAATATGAAAAACAGTGGTAAGCTGACTCCTGCTGCGTTGACAATGACCAGTATGTTGTTTGTGTGCCACGTTCAGGAATAGCTAAATTTTGTACCTCACGAGAGCCCTTTATACAGAACAACTTGGCACAGATAAAAGGCCATTTACATCACAACTATAAATCAGATTTTTTAGACTTATTATTTAATATATATACATCTTAGAGTATACATTATAATAAGATTGTTTACAGGTTTCACATCAGAGTGGCATTTATAATTAAAACTTCAAAAAGTTTTAAAAGCTAACTGTAAACTAATATATTCTGGAAAACATATCTCTTATAGAAAAAATCTAATGCTTTAAAGTGCATTTTGAGCATAACTTGATTTTTTCTCAAACAGCGTTCTGTAGTTTGCCTAATTTAACCTAATTTCTTTAACAACAAAGTTGCTTTTCATTTGAGTATGTGCTTACAATTTATGTGCTTACAATTACATGATGATTCCAAAAGAAAAAACATAGCAACTTAAATTGTTAATTTAAAAATACTGACATGAATCTATCAAAAAATATATACTTTGTGGTCAAAATATTGCGTATTTTGATTATTTTTTGATAATAGGCATTTAAACAGAAAAAACTTTTTTTAAATAATTTGATTTTTTCTTAACACTTTACCTGATCATCAACATCACTTTTTTTTCCATTTTCTAATCCAATCATGCCATCTGAATAAATGTTGAGTTTTTAAGCTTTCTTTTTAAAGAAATTTTAACAAAGCTATTAGCACTATTTAAGTTAGGAGTTAGGGAGTAGTGAAGAAAGTTTAAGCAGAAGAAAAGAGATAGAGATATTTAATGTTAAATGTTTGTTACTCTAGGCAATCAAAAAGTGAAAGCTTTTTAACAAGACTATAACATTTTTGATTGCTTAGAATTTTTTTTTTTTTTGAGGTTTTTAGATTGTCAGTAAAAATATCAAGATATGAAACAACATAAGATCAAAGATAGAATTTTGTAGTAACTCAGAAGTTACTAGAAACAGTGTTGCCTATTAAGATTGTCTTTAATAGTGTAAAAGTGTTAGAATAGTGAACAGTAATGTTAATTTTGCAAATTTTCCTGAAATAAAGTTTATGAGACCTTTAAAGACTTTCTCAAAGTCTATAAATCCTCATTTCTGATATAAAATACAAGGTTTTCTAACTTTCAGGTTAGACAGTACCTTTATACATTATTTGCTTGCAATTAAAAAAGATGTTTTTTTAAGAAGTTTTATTCTAGTGAAAAACAAGAAGAAAAAAAATGCAATTAAAAAAAGCAACTAAATTAAAAAAAAACCATGATGTAGATTGATACTAGATATTAAAACCTTTCAGGGACAAGAGACAAGCCATACTTAATACTGAGCATTAATGTCACCAAAAACAAATATTAACAGATTTAGATTATAATAGGAAATTTGACTCAATTTAAAAAATATTTTCTTAACTTAATTTATAATCTTGTTTAAAAATACATCTATGTTTAAAAATACATCTATGTTTAAGAAGGCATATAAATGTTTAAGTAGACATCTATGTTTAAAAATAAATCTATGTTTAAGAAGACATATATGTTTAAGAAGACATTTATGTTTAAGAATAAATCTATGTTTAAGTAAACATTTTAAAAGACAGTCTTTTATGTGAAATAAAATTTATGTCATTTAAAGATAAACAACCAAGAAAACTGGTTTGTACCAGCATTTACAATGATGAAAAAAATAAACTTATTATAAAAGAGTTTTTAAAAGAAAATTATTCTTCCTTGACTAAAACTAGTGTTTTTAAAACACATGCTGTAATTTGTGACTCAAATGTTTCTCTTGGTAAACATAATTCTTAAGTTCAACAAATACAAAACAAAAAAATCTTACTTGTTACAGTAAACAAAGAAAATTACATAACTAAACTAACTAAAAATGTTTATACTATTCAATCAATTAGAATGTAAAAAGACTTTAAGAAAGAAAACAAAAACATATACTTTCAAAAAATTAAAGAAAATGTTACTATCTGATGATAGCAATCTATTCTCAATTATATAGAAAGAACAAATATGTTAATACTTTCTAACATATCAGTATGTTGTGCAAAACAAAATACAAAGTTGAAACTAGAACAAAAAAAAGCATATTTTACTTAGTACTTAGATATGTATGACAGTGAGGGCTTCATAAAGTCAACTTAGAGTAAGTGTTTAGGAAAGAAGTATTTACGTAAAAAAATCTCAAAATTCAAGAACAAAGCAAAACTATTTACAACATTTTAAAAACTTCAAAATTATAATTTCAATTTCCTTTTAGTCTATTGGAATAAAGAATTTAAAAAGATTGATTTATAATTATTTAGATCAGACATAAAAAACATGGAACAATTTTTTAAAATTTATAAATTGATAATTTGCATCTGTTGCATTTTCAAATGTTTCTTTATAATCTTTCAAAGATCAAAAGCCAAATAATTAAAAGTGTCTTAGATATGTTGTCCAATTAGATATCTAACAGAAATACTGTAAATATTGGGTACCTTTAAAGTTAAACTAAATGGTGGTTGAAGATAATGCATTTATCTAAATATTTTATTATCTGGTGGTAATGTGTAAAAAGTAAAAATTTCCTGATGGTTATGTAATAGTATAAACAATATTTACACTCCTATAAAGTAAATATTTCATAACAAATTTAGAAAGTTCATATGTATGTTTTGAAGCTAATGCATTTTGATTCAGCTATATCATTATAGATTAATTTTTTTTTTGTTATACCTTGATAAAATGCTCTTATAGAAATTTATAATTAAAAAAATTGCTTTAAAAGTTACAATAAAAAAAAAATTGCCAAGAAATTAAATGCATAAATTCAAAATAAGACACTTCATTAATATAGATAATATATCAGTCCAACTGAAGAGTCTAGAGCAATTATTTAAGTTTATTTTCACTTTTTTTATTTTATATTCTTTTTTTATTTATGAAATATATGTTTTAACCACTATCATATATAATTATCAGCCATATTATCTACCATTATCAAACATATTATATATCTTTATCAACCATTTCATATATCATTATTAAACATATATATTACAGCCCTTGAAATAGTTTTTCAAAACTTGCCGATCAAATGTAATTTTTTTACAAAAACAGGTTATTCTCCCTTGAATTTTTCAAAATTTCCCTAAAAAAAGCCAATTATTGATCGTTGATGGGCCATTATTTCGAGCGCTGATATTATTATCAAAAATTTTATGTATCATTATCAACCATTTCATATATTATTATCAAACATATATATCATTACAAAACATATCATATCTCTCACTCCCTAAATGTGTTATATCTAATACAAAAACACTATGTTTGAATAAAAAATATTTTAAGGAGTCCCTCAAGATCCTCGAATATTTAATGGGTTCCTTAATATTTTTTTAAAAAAAAGTCAACCTGGTACTCAAATGAAGCCAATTTATATAAAAATTTCAAAAATAATATTCATTGTGAAAAAAATTGTTATTTTTGGTTTTATTACTTAAAAAACTATGTTTTTTAACAAAAATTGAAAAAAATATATTTTTCATGTTTTTTTATAATAATTTTGGTAAGTTAAAATGTTTTCAAAATGAATATAATTTTTGAAATTTTTATATAATTTTGCTTCATTTGAGTACCAGGTTAACATATTTTTGAAAAACTTTTTTTTGAAAATATTAGGGATCTATTAAATATTCAAGGGTCTTAAATTTAAATTTAAACAAAAATCATTTAAGAAATAAAAAACTACCTTGGTAACTGTAAAATAGTTATTTGCTATTGGATAAAAGTATACAGTTTGAATCAATAAATCTACATAAATATGTGATTGACTCCACAATTTTATTCCAGTCATATAATAATTTTGATCAAAGGAAACTTCAATAGAATATATATAAGATTTATCTAAAGTAATGATTGTTAAAGAACTTTCATTGACATTCTGTGTATTCAAGGATCGTACATCTCCAACAACTAAATAAATATCAACTGTCAACATAGTATATTAACATTAATGACAAACAATCATTTTTTTTGAAAACTCTAAACATATCTTGTCATTATTAATAGAAACAAAATAATAATTCAAATGAAAAATGGGTAACTTGTTAATAAATCAAACAGTGAAGAAAAATTCAAAAATGTTAACAAAGGAAAGTAGCAAATTATTGTTAAATAAACAAAAATTGTCAAACTGTCATATTGTTTATTGTTGAAAAATGAAGCTATAAATAGTAATTTACTGCAGCTTGGCAGGTCTTTTTAGGTGGTCTATCAAGATATCTACTACACGATACAAGAATCAATTTTAGGTCAATTAAATCTTGTGCAGCAAAAGCGTTCAACAAAAAGTTACAGGTGATATTGTTAGTTTTAAGAAGTGTTCATTTATGCTAAGAATATATACCCAGCATTTAGAAAATTACTTTTGCAAAACCCAAGTCAATGGCTAAGCAATCAAAAACATTTTAATAAGTTTGTGTCCAGCAAAACTCTAGAATCTATAAAAATTAGCCAACATCGGATTGGACATTAGCAAAACTAAAGATTTATAAAATTTGTTTAAAATTAGATATTAAAACATTTAAAAAGATTGAATCAACCATAACTAAATAGACACTGAAAAACACACTCTTACTATTTTTAAGCTCTTATATGTTATATAATTTTATACAGTACTAGGCTCACATTGAATAACCAATTTCTTCCTGCTTCACTGAAAACAATGACTCAGTTAAGCAACAAAATACACTCATATTAAGTTTTACAATGGTATACTTTGATCGTAGTATTGAAATGACAAAGTTTGATGTACAATTAAGTTTTGCTAATGTTAAGATAATAAATACTTTATAAATTGTCATAATTGTAATTATGATAATTTATAAACCTTAAGTTGAAATTTTTGTTGCACCCATTTTTGATTGTTCCTTTTGAAGCAAAAACTTGCTTCAAAAGTAACAATCAAACTTGGTAAATGTTTATAGAGGTTTTTAAGGCCAAGGATTTCATTTTTGGGCTCCATTTTAATGATGGAGTAGTCATGACCACACAAGTGGTTATTTTAGGAGTTAGGGTAGTCATGGGATGTCTAGATGGTTTTTAAATTAGATGGGACAAGTTGTATATATAAATATATTTAGATATACAACATGTCCAGGTAACATGACCGAATAAATATATTTAGGTATACAACATGACCGAATATGCCTAGATTTGAATTCCCTGGTTAGAGAATTCAAATCTAGGCATATTTGGTCTTTAGAAGTGGTCATGACCACTAAAATGGTCATTTTAGTGGTGGTCAAGGGTGGTCCTGAGATTTCACAATTTTTTTCAATTAGATGGGATATCTTGTATGTCTAAATTTTAATTTTTTAAATAAACAGACAACTGTATCAGCAGTTTTTTGCAGAAACATTTTAAGCATCTTTAATTTTATTTGATAGTTATGAAAGTTGTTAATGTTTTGCATCTGCTAAATGTTTTGAGAGTTCTTTTCAAAAAAAAAGCAAAAAAATTCCTTAAAAGCGTATACAAAAAACTAAATTAATTCAAAAAAGTAATTCAGAATGGTTAATACAGAAATTTATTATTGAACAAATGTTTGTAAAAGTAGGTAATTTCAGATCAAAATTTTACTTTTTTAATCTTATTTGGTGATGTTTAATATAATAATATTATATAATAATGTGATGCTTTTTAAGTTGTTGTTACAATTTCAGATTGAACTGTAAAACTTTTTATTACATTTATAAGTTTACATCATACATTTGCAAAAGTAAAAATATTTGAAAGTGTCACTGTTAACTTGAACCCTGTAAATAATATAATTAAAATATAAATACTAAATGGTTTTGAATTGTGTTTAAAGCTCTGCATTTTTTTTTATTTAGTTTCAGCAATTTTAAAAACTATTAAAAGGAACTATTACAATTCTTACATGGTTTACTTTTTGAAAAAAACTATTAAAAATGTAAATGTATATAAAATAATCTATAAAAAATAATTTCTAATGGTAAAAAAGGAATGTTATTTTCAATGTTACTTAAGTGATCTGTCACTACTAAAAAATAATTTAAAAATAACCAATATAAAAAACAAAAAGATATGCAACGCAAAAAACAATTTCAAAGCAGTGCTATTCACCACTTATGACTGTTTGGTATAACAATATTTGTATGTCATAACATCAATAATTTATAAAAACAATAATAAATCAAATATACAAACCAGTGTCTCCGTATAAACAAGATAACTTAAAATCATTTTGTGAAAATTTTGTGATATTTTGTGCAAGGTCATAAGTCGTTTTCACTATTAAACATAAACCATTAAGCATACCGTAATTGTTATTTCTTAAAGTGTTTATTATACTTGTCAACTCAAAGCTTTGATGATCTGTTAAACCATTAAAAGTTATTGATATGAAGTTTAAAAAAAAAGTTTTATTGCTAAGATTATTGTAATAATCTGAACATTGAAGTGCAGTCATATCATTTGAAACAATTGAGAATGCATAGATGTTTGCTGAATAATTTGTATTTGAATTAAGAGTTTTCTTTAAATGAAACATATGAAAATCTAGTTTCATCCAATTTACAGTAGATGGCAAAATAAATTTATTGAAAACCAAAAATGTCTCTTCTACATTCGAACCAAAATAGATTTCACTGTTTGATGTATTCCATAAAAAATCTGTTACAAAAAACTCTTTCCAAATAGAGGAAGATGAAAATGGAACTAAATATTGTAAGAACATAGATGTCACAAAATTATCAACATATATTAATAATAAGCTTAAATCTTATCTCAAATATTTATAAAAAATAAAAAATAAAAATTATCAACTACAAACATATATTAATAATAAGCTTAAATCTAATCTCAAATATTTATAAAAATAAAAATTTAAATTAGAAATATTAATATAACAATATTTTATTTTAATCAAGAAATTATATTATTATAATAATTTCTTGATGGATAAAACTGTTTTATCCAGCAAGGAGGAATAAAATATTTCTTGATAGATAAAACTGTTTTATCTGGCAAGGAGGAATAAAATAAGAAAAAATAGCAATAATAAAATTGTTTTATTAAACAAGGAGAACTGAAACAAAGAAAAAAAAAAAGCAATAAAACTGTTTTATCCAGTGAGGAGGAATGCAATAAGAAATACAAAAATAATCTTGTTTGATTTAGCAAAAAGGTTCCTGAAGAAAATAAATTATATTTATATATGTATTTTAAAAATAATAAATTATATTTATATATGTATTTTTTAAAAGATTTGCAATAATTTCATAATGATCCTAACTTTATTTGTTAATTTTTTTACAATATAATTTTTATTTTTACAATATAATATAATTTTTATTTTTACAATATAATATAACTTTTATTTTTACATTATAATATAACATTTTCAAGGTTTGCTAATCAAAAATGTTTATTTATTTTATACAACATCTTTAAAAATGCTTTGCAGTTTTTCATTTTTTCAATATAAAAATATTAATGAAATTTTGCATGCTTAAAAAAACTTAAAAAAAACATTGTGTAACATTTCATTGACCTCCCTCAAATTCATATTAAAATTTTATAAAACTTAATCCACTGAGACTAAATAAAATGAAAATACACAAAAACAGAATGCTCCAATTTGAAATATTTTACTTGTTTTAAATCAATAGTTTGAATTTCTACATCTTTTGCAGCATAATAAACATTAATATTGTTGATTGTTTATTATGCTGCTTAAAAAATGCAGTGAAGATTTTTTGCCAATATTTTGATATTTAATATTTTATTTAAAAAACATAATAATATCGTTGATATTATTAGTTTATTATATTGATATTGTTTATTATCCTGCTTAGAAAATCCAATGAAGATTTTGATATTTTTCTGGATATACTTTTGTTGATGTTTTGAAGTTTGGAAAGAAACTTACTAATATTGACGGATATCAAACACAAATATGTCTAATAAGATGCTTCTGAAGTTGGTGCTCATTGAATGAAAAGAAGAACAAAATATGGCTTGCAGAACTTGTAAGAAAATTTCAGTATTTCTATCAACTTGTAAAATGCTTATGATCATAAAAAGAATGACAATAAAAACATTTTTATAATTCTATAATTTAATTCAAAATAAATTTAGAAAATTCAAGTTTTATCATACCAGTAGTTTATAAAATTTATAAATATATACATAATATATAACATAAATACAATTATTTATACCAGCAACATCAAGTTGAATTGTAAATCCACTAACACACAAATGAGGCTGAGTAATGCAATCAGCTCCAAATTGATTGCTCATGAGTGAAGTATGAAAACTGTTTATTAAATTATTTTGTAAATAATAAGTGCTACCAAACAACTTCTGGATACCTCTGATGCTTGGATAGATGTAGTAACTTGTATTGTACTGGATGAAGTTTGCACTCAACCAAACAAAGTCAGCTAAATTTAAAGCCTTAAATTAAAACTTGTTAATGGATAAATTCATATTTTTAGGTCTTCATACTTAATACTTTATTATTTTAGGTCTGTTAGAGATGCTGATTAAATTAGCATTTATTTTTAGATTGGCTTAACAACATAACATTTAACATAACATTTAACAATTTAACAACAACATTTAATAGATTTTAGATGCTGTAGATGTAGATTTATGAATTAAACGTTTAATATATTTTAGATGCTGTAGATGTAGACAAATGGAAAAGAAAACTCTGAATAATTTGAATTTTGAAAATGTTTTCTAGAATACCATATAAAAAAACCTTATGGACAAGATAAACATGTCAGATAAAAAAAACTTATGGACAAGATAAAAATAATGTCAAGATAAAAAAAACCTCTCTGAGGTTTTTTTATCTGGATAAAGAATGGCTCTTGCCCCACCATTTCCATTAAACACATAGTAAAACTGTTCATTTATTACTTTAAACAAGTAGTAGTACAAGAAGTTTTAAAAATTGATTGTCTAAAAGCAATATTTTAAATTCAAAATAACAAGCTAGTAGTAAGAAGATTAATTTAGACAATAATTAAAAAAGATTGGTCTTCACAGTTTGATACTGATTATGGTTGAAAATTGGAGCTGTAACCACGAAAGCATTTTTTGAAAAAGAAACTACCTTACCTTATGATGTAGCAGATGCTCAACCTTGGGTGCTAGAGTAAATCTAACTAAACTTACAATACAACATGGTTTTGCCCTCTTATCATTATTATTATTTTTAAATATATTATTAAAAAAAGCAGCCATAATATTACAACAGTATTCTATACTAGGATGGAAAAAGGTTTTATAGAGGTAGAAACGAAATTAACAGAAAGAAAATAAAATCAACAAAAAGAAAATCAAAAAAAAAAAAAAAAAGTGAACAGGATACAGACAAACTTTAGCATATACAAATTTTGCAACAGATAACATCATCATCCACAAAATTGTAAATTTGACAACACCAAGAGTGTTGTTATTCATCAATATATCAACATTATTATTGTGACAATGCAGCAATCTTTTGACCAATCAAAAAGACTTTCTATTATAACTGGAATATATGTATTATGTATTATGAGCATAAATAGTCACTGAAGAGGTAAGGTTGTCAGTAAATTCATTAATATAGATAATAAACAATGTGGGATCAAGGACAATTCTTTAAAAGGCCTTTGTGAAGCCATACCAATGGGGGATGCCTCACCACTTTCATCTAATGATAAATAGAACTTTTCTGATTAACAGATCAGTGGTAGAATAAAAGGAACATAATCTCTATCAATTTTTAAAGAGTTGACTCAAGATTAGTTATTAGAATTATTAAAAAGTAGAGTTATTGAAAGTAATTAGAGACTCAAAGCTAAAAAAAGCTAGAAGATTGGACAATATTTATAAGAAACAGAGCAGTTTCCATGTACCAGCAGAATAAAAAAAAAAATTCAATTAAGTAGTTTCAAATAGTTTAGAGAGCACTGAAGAGAATTCGAGCTGGTACTTTTGCAAGACTGTACAAAAACTATTAAAAAATTTAGGTAAGAAATAACTTAAACAACTAAGGAAGCCAGAGTGAATAAAATGTCTAGTAATGTATTAAACTGCTCATAAATTTTACAAACTTTGCAGTCTAATAGATTATCTTTAATGATTATTATAAAAATACTTTGTTTACTTTATACCCAATAAAGGCTTAATGCTTTCAGTGTTCATAATATATGCAATAGTAGACTAGTAGAAATAGTAGACTAGTGGAAGTAGTAGACTAGTGGAAGTAGTAGACTTGTGGAAGTAGTATTGAAAGAATTTTCAACTCTTAATTTTTAACAATTAATTTCATATAAAACAAAATATATGAGTAGTTTCTTTGTATTGGTCTGTATTGGTTGTCTCTGGAGCCTTGGAATGAATTTAATCTTTAAGCATAATAAACATACTAAAGTATGCTTATTATGCTTAAAGAAGATAAAGCTATATAGGTTTTTACAATAAGTTAAAAATAATTTAAAAAGCATATATTAATTCTTTAAGCATAAAAGACATTTCTATAGACATTACTTCTCTATTAAATCAAAAATTCTTGAAATAATAAATACTTAAAAAAAGTTTAACATTTATAGGTATTACTATTAATCACAAAGATGTTGTTAAAAATGAAAGGAAAAGTGTTGCTCTACAAATCTTTACACAACAGTAAAAATAGAAAAACTAAAAATAAACCAATAAATTTACCATTTAAGTTTGTCTTTTTTTTATTTAACATTTGAAATTCTCTTTGCTTTTAACAAAAATCATGTTCCAAAAGTGTTCAATTTTATGAATCCAAATCTATTTAATTTTATTTTTCTTATATCTTTTTTTTTTAGCAGTAGTAATTAAATAATTTTAACAAATTAAACTTTTTAATAATTAGAGAAGCTTTGCAAAACTAATATGATGATGAAACATTTATATCTATAATTTTATTTTAAAATTATAACCAAAGAACTTTAAAACTTCTATAACTCTAAGTTATGCAAAAGTGGTGTAGTGCTAGAGTAAGCAAGAAGTTCTGAGTTCAATCCCTACCATAGCCCTCATAGTACTATGCTCAAACTTGCTTCTTCCTGCAGTAGCCTTGTTCATCAAGGCTCGTATTGTGAAGTTTAAGAGTTGAGATAGGGTTGCAACAACAGTTAAAAAATAACATCAATCAGAAAAAAAACTTAAAAGTTAAAAAATGGGTAGTTGAAACAGTTTTAGTGGTCCCCTATGAGTAGGTGAATATAGTAAAACATAAACAAAAATTTAAAATTTAAAAAAAGAGTATAAAAGTTTAACTACAGTGATGTGCTTTTGCCTTGGAGAGATTTAAATATAAAAAAAAAAAAATTCTTTATATTTTATATTTTTAATAAATAAAAGCCTTCAATATAATTTATAATTTTTATAGAATGAAAAACTTAGTGTAAGAAAATGTTATGATCAACTTTGTTAACTAAAATGCACAACCTAACTCTATATATCTCACAGATCAGCCAATGTCACATTTTTTATTTTATCTAATGAAAATTAAACAAAACTTAAGTAACCTGAAAGGTAATCATCTCCAAGTAAAGTAATAGATATGTTTTGCTCCCCATTTATTAACCAGTTTAAGCAACTTAGGTTAATTTCAGATGTTCGAAATGGACGAAGAGTAATTCTTGGTGATACTGTAAATATCTGGAACACAAAAAAATAGTTACTAATTTTACATAAAATTTATTTACAGTTACTACATTATTTACTGATGCCTGACACAATCAGTGTGATTCACAAAAACACTTTTACTTTTTAATTTTTTTTTTTTTTTTTTTTCTAAACGCAAACTTGACAAATAGAATTTTAGAATTTTTAGAATAGAAATTTTTTTTTTTCTAAATGCAAACTTGACAAATAGAATTTTAGAATACTTTATCTACATTTAAAAAACATATTTTTATTTTAATAAAATTTTTTTGTTATTTAATACCAACTTTTAATTTTTATAATCACGATGAATTGTAATTTGTACATATATAACTTATAATAATTATAATTTGTACCAATATAACTTTTATTAATTACTCACAGTAATATCAAACAAACTATTGTCTTTGTAGGGCACAAATTGGTTGTTTGCACTGTAGTAGATACAAAACTTCAATAACCAATCAATTTTATCAAATTCCATTCCTGATATAAGTGAAGATTTATCCAATTTGATACTTAAAAAATCACTGGCCATAAACTGGTATAGTCCAATCATAGGATTTTCTAAAACAGAAACATAAAAGCACAAATCATAAAAGTTAAAAGTTTTTTTTTTATATACTGTTGAACAGTTTTTTAAGATAATTTGTGCAATGAAACAGTGCATGGTCAATAGGTAGTCAGTGCATTAAATGTCTAGTCTGTATGATTTTTATTTACTTATAAGATATATAATTCAAAATAATTACAAATAGAATTTACTTTACCAAATAAATATGGAAAAGATTCAATAAATCTAAAGTCCATAGCAAAGTAAGTCAAACGATATTCTGAGAAAGCAAAAACTTGGATTTCAGAAGCCATAAAAGGATTTAGCAAATCATAACTGAACCATTGAGACCTAGCATAGTTACCATCAAAAATCTGAAGACAAATAAAAAAGTAAGAATTAAAATACAAACTATTATTAATTAAATAAATATATTACTAGAAATTTTGCTTGCTATTAAAAAAAATTAAAAATTGCAATTATTATGCACAATAAAAAAGACTTTGCATATTTTATAGTTAATGACGGATAGTTTGAAAGATGGAGCGATCAATTTTGATTGATGGTAGTGATAAAATAGAGCGCTCAATTTTGATTGATGGTAGTGATAATAAATAACTGTTATTTTCAGTTTGATTTTTAGTATGTTATTTTTGTTTAAAATTCAAAAATCAATTCACTTGATGTAGTTTTATTTTTCATTTCTAATACTTATTGTTGTTGGTTGTTATATTCAGTATAATTAGGTATAATCATGTCAAAATAAAATTGACTTACTATTTTTAATAACATGTAAATATTATACAAATTAAAATTATGATTTATAATTTTTCTAATATTTATATCCTTATTTTAAATTTCTATACTTAGTATAGTGATTTAGGGACTAATTGATATCATTTAAAGATCTAAGGTTTGATACCATTTAAAGATCTAAGGTTTGATACCATTTAAAGATCTAAGGTTTGATACCATTTAAAGATCTAAGGTTTGATACTATTTAAAGATCTAAGGTTTGATACCATTTAAAGATCTAAGGTTTGATATCATTTAAAGATCTAAGGTTTGATACCATTTAAAGATCTAAGGTTTGATACCATTTAAAGATCTAAGGTTTGATATCATTTAAAGATCTAAGGTTTGATATCATTTAAAGAGCTAAGGTTTGATATCATTTAAAGATCAAAGGTTTGATATCATTTAAAGATCAAAGGTTTGATATCATTTAAAGATCAAAGGTTTGATATCATTTAAAGATCGAAGGTTTGATATCATTTAAAGATCGAAGGTTTGATATCATTTAAAGATCAAAGGTTTGATATCATTTAAAGATCGAAGGTTTGATATCATTTAAAGATCAAAGGTTTGATATCATTTAAAGATCAAAGGTTTGATATCATTTAAAGATCGAAGGTTTGATATCATTTAAAGATCAAAGGTTTGATATCATTTAAAGATCTAAGTTTTGATATCATTTAAAGATCTAAGGTTTGATATCATTTAAATATCTAAGGTTTGATATCATTTAAAGATCTAAGGTTTGATTTCATATAAAGATCTAAGGTTTGATACCATTTAAAGATCTAAGGTTTGATACCATTTAAAGATCTAAGGTTTGATACCATTTAAAGAGCTAAGGTTTGATATCATTTAAAGATCTAAGGTTTGATATCATTTAAAGATCTAAGGTTTGATATCATTTAAAGATCAAAGGTTTGATATCATTTAAAGATCAAAGGTTTGATATCATTTAAAGATCTAAGTTTTGATATCATTTAAAGATCTAAGGTTTGATATCATTTAAATATCTAAGGTTTGATATCATTTAAAGATCTAAGGTTTGATTTCATATAAAGATCTAAGGTTTGATACCATTTAAAGATCTAAGGTTTGATACCATTTAAAGATCTAAGGTTTGATACCATTTAAAGAGCTAAGGTTTGATATCATTTAAAGATCAAAGGTTTGATATCATTTAAAGATCAAAGGTTTGATATCATTTAAAGATCAAAGGTTTGATATCATTTAAAGATCAAAGGTTTGATATCATTTAAAGATCAAAGGTTTGATATCATTTAAAGATCGAAGGTTTGATATCATTTAAAGATCTAAGGTTTGATATCATTTAAAGATCTAAAGTTTGATATCATTTAAAGATCAAAGGTTTGATATCATTTAAAGATCAAAGGTTTGATATCATTTAAAGATCAAAGGTTTGATATCATTTAAAGATCGAAGGTTTGATATCATTTAAAGATCGAAGGTTTGATATCATTTAAAGATCTAAAGTTTATTTACCTTATATATATAGGGGCTATTCTAGAGCATTTTTGTTTTTAAATTTAGAAAAATTAAAAATGAATTTAGATAAATTTAATTTACTTTTAATATTTAAAGTTAAAGTAAATTTAATTACCTAAATTAAGTAAATTAAAGTAAGAAATGTAAAGCATGATATTGAACTCATTTTTAATTGCAAATAAGTTGTTAAATTTGAGTTTTTTGCTAAAAACTTATATTTAACTAACTTTAATATTTAATAAATTGTATGATATAATAAAAATAATTGCAAGAACAGCTTGCAACTGTGTGGTACAGTAAATATAATTGCAGTAAAAGCTTGCAGCTATTATAAAATAAAAATAATTGTAATAAAAGCTTGTAACTGTGTTTTAGATTTTCAAGAATGTTTTGAAAAGTTTATTATAATGATAGTAATTTTAGTTTTTTAAACAGATTATAAAAATAGATTTTATCAAAAAAAAAAAAAAAAATAGTTGAAGCTGTATTTTAACTAAATGTTGTTTAGTTTTGTACATACTGTATGTATGTCACACAAGAGTCTATGTCACATAAGCACTTGAACAAATAGTTTGAAGTGTATATTTTAACTATTTAAAATTATTTAATATCAATTATATTGATTTAACTAAATTACTTAGATTTTAAAGTTTAGTTTTGATTTGCCTTGTTGGTTAGAAACGCGTAACTAATTTGATTGAAAGTTTCAAAAATATTTAGTCAGCTATAACTGTTACATATTCAAATAGAACTATATGTGCCTTATGTAAAAAAATAATTGATATCCAATGTCATGGAGGAACATTTGGTGATGGCTATGTTGTCTGTAAAATATGTGCAGATATTATAATGTTAATTTATTTGTTGATTATTTCTTAACGTAAGGTTTATGTATATAAAAAACAGTATAAAATAGTACTAGAGCTTATAATAAGTTCTTATTCTATTTTTTACTCTATACTATTTTGTGATAAATGTAATACAATTTTGCATTATTTAATTAAATAAACCATGTGGCATTATTTGATTAAATAAACACTGTTGCATTATTTAATTAAATGTTGCATTATTTAATTAAACCCAGTGTTGCATTATTTAGTAAAACTCTAATCCAGAGAGCAAAACTTTAACGTTGCATATGATTAATTAATCATATGCAACATTTAAGTTTTGCTCTCTGGATCTCTATTAGAGATCAATTGAAAAATGTTTATGCTTAAAGACTCTAAGCATAAACATTAATTTTCAAGTAAAATTCAGTTAACAGCATAATTGTACCATTGTATAATTTATTCAATGCAGTATTTAACTTATCTCAAACTTTCTGACAATCTAGAGCTTCAATTTTGCAATATTTATCAATCAAATGCAATATGATTAATAAAAATACAATTTCTATTTATTACATAAAATGCATTGCATATTATTTAACTTTATAAACTAATAAATTTTTTTTATATTATAAGATTATAAAACTGTAAGAATAAAATGTTTTTTATACCAAATTTTTTATTTAAATAACTTTTACAAATGTTTCAATAAAGATATAAAATAAATTTACTTAGTTTAATAATTTCATTATCAAGGTTGTTGTAAATTTTCTCCAACAAAAAAAAATGATTTAGTTGGTAGAGATAATTTTTCATTTGCTTATATGTAACTTTTTTATAAACGTTTATACAAAAATACTTAAATTAATAAATGTCAAAAAAAAAATTTTTTAACAACTACATAAGTAACTATTTTTATTGTTTATTTTTAGAAAGTAATAATTTTTTAAAAATAAGGTTACTTAGTTTTACTAATTTTTTATGTAATAACACTTAATCATTTGTTTGATGGGTATTTAGACAGACGTTTCAAGATTTTTAATAGCTCTTGTAGTAAACCAATAAGAAATAAAAATCTTTTAAAGATGAAAAGTTAAAGTTTATTTGGGCGGTGGTACCCCCCGTTATGATTGATGCTGTGGAAAACAGTCTAGAATAGTTCCTGATATATATATATAAATATATATGCATCATGAGCATGATCATGATCATAATGATTGTGATCATCATGATTGTGATGATCATGATTGTGATGATCATGATTGTGATGATCATGATTGTGATGATCATGATCATCATGATTTATAACTAAACTGGAGTAAAACTACCTTTGTTTGATTGAATTCTGTGTAAACAACAAAATCTCTGTCACTATTTAAACGAAAAGTCAACCAGATTCCAGTAATTGAGTTAAATTCATTATAATCACCCGATTTAACTATAAACTGATGAACTAATTTGACTCCATTTATTTTTACAGTAAAGTATGAAACTGGTGATACATCAAACTCTAAGTCATTTGGACTTATTGATAAATATGAGGTACTTGTGATGTTCATCATTCTTCTAACACCTTGCAAAGTAATGCTCGTGTCACCATTGTAATAAAAAGCCTCTGTTATTTGATAATCATTGCTTGTAGGAGGCACATAGTATG